ACCTGAAAAAGGTATTTCCTTCTCAATTTTTAATTGTTTCATTTACTATACAGAATGTCACTGTACGTGGATGTTTCATTTACTTTGACATTATTTTTCATGTTTTAACTTAACAGGTCCCATGAAAGCTTCAAATTAGATATGTACATAAATTATATCGTAATGCTTTGTTATAGGAATATCACAATTATACTTTTGTTCGTCATGCTTTCATACCATTTTATCTCCGCTTTAACTCCAAGTTAAATCAAAGAGTATTTTTCCTGGCTTAATTAAAGCTGTACCTCCGACAGACATATGAGACACTAGTGGCTCCCGCCATTAAAATAAATGTTGAAAAACTATTTAACGACGTGTATCTACGTTATTTTTAACACTTGAATAATCAAACTCATTAAAATGATGGATTCTAGCTTTCTCATTATAATCTATATAAATTTTATAATATTTAACGAACCAAAATTATATAATTTTTTTTCTAAATTACTCTTCATATTAATGTCATCAGAATTAAAATTTGGAGAATTCCTACTCGTCCTATGTCGTCATTTTTTCTAAAAAAGTCTATTTATTGAACATAATTTCATCTCTAATAACCTTTTCCAATTCTATGAACCATCATATAGATACCTAAACCGTCTTATTTGTAGTGTGTACGTTATACAAGTGTACAACTCGAGGCAGTTTGATCCATGCATTATGATCCATTAATTAACACCGGCTCAAAGCACTGCGTAATCGTATCCAGATTGCACGACACGGCACAATTTCGTAATTGACCGTCCGGCCCGTTTGTTTCATCACGTTGCTTCGAGCAGCCTGAATTTTCCCATTTGACTTTCAGCAATTTCATCGAAGAACAAAGCTTCATAAAACGCTGTTATTTGATTGAACCCGCCGGCGCGGTGTGTAAATCTGTGCGAATTCTCGGCGATACGTTCGGAGAAAGCAATAATTGCGACTAACTGCAACTGAAAATTTATTTTACTCGATCATTCGTTCCTGCTGCGCCAGCTCTAATTACTCGGCTATATTTTTATTCCTACCGATATTTGACATTTCAAATATCCGGATATTCATCAAATAAAGCTTCTATTCTTGTCGGAAATTAAATGAATTTTCATCCTTGTTTATCTCAAATTTCAGTTTTTCTAAATCGGCATAAATTCACTTTAAAATTTGTTTTAAAGACACGGAATATTAATTTGATGCAAGTGTAAATTTTATATGTTAAAGCTATCAAATTCGGCGACCACAGTTGTCAAGAAAACCGTATTGTAAGTCTTAAGTAGCATAGCTCAATATTCGCCGATCCGAGTAGGCGACATATGATAAAATACAAGACGAGAAGGCTTGCAGGCAATGCCAAAGGAGTTCGTACATCGTGACGGTGAATCGTTCATTCTTATTTCCAGGATTGCTCGACTTGTACCACTGACATGCTTACAGCAGAAAGAATCGCTTTTATCGGAAGCCAGCTTCGATGATATTTACGAGCTTTCCTGCATGACCTGCGCGCGATTTCACGCGTACCGTTCTAATACATAAATCCTTCCAACCATACAATGGGATCCGATGTGGAAACTAAATTGATGCCTCTTTTACATAGTTAACAGTGCCTTTCTACATATGACATAATTTTGATTTTTGCAAAAATTTCACTGAAAATCTTAATATTCTGAGATTTAACTACCTTTATATTCAGTAATACACAATAAAATAGAACGAGTATAATTTAGAGGTTCGATACATTAGCTAACTTTTCCCTGATTCGTAAAAACCGAAGAAAATGTTGATGCAAATGATGCAAGTCGCCTCTAATAAACGTCGCAGGACACTTGATTTATACCGTCACGCTTGAATCGTAGATTACCTTAATCTTAAATCAATTTCAGACAGGCTTTGCACAGCACTCGTAACGAAACGTAGGTACATACATTAAGTCGTACTGTACCTTTTCTACGTGTCGTATGCAAACTGATTACAATTTTACCATTCGAGGATCAAAATTTATTTTCACGAAAAAAAGGTGGTTCAAAATATTTTACACCGTATTTTTCATTTATGTTTTCATATAAACGCTCGGTATTCTCGATTGTTTAATTATTTACACGATATTCTGTAATATCGCGTAAAACGAGCTTATTTCAATAACAATTACGATACAATGATTCAATTATGTTCTGCTTAAACAGTAGGTACACAGGTTACCTCATACGTTTCCCAGTATAATTATGCCAATGCTCTCTATTAGTATGAACAAAGAAATTTCAGCAATAAATTGTAGACAGAAGTCGCGTAAATAAATAAAATTCATACTGTTGCTCTACTTTGAAATAATATTGCGTTAATAACAAAATAAAGTGATTGTATCATCTGTTATCGTTTCATAATTCCGGAAAATCGAAACTCAGTTGAGTCCATAAGGCAATAAGATGCAATCTTGAAATTCAAAGTTTCAAACTTTCATCTCTAAAAGTTCGGGTACTTTGAAAGTTCGACAAGTGGAAGGTTCCAAAGTTCAACTGGTTCAAATGCTTCTGCTTCGTGTACTAACTACCCTAGTGCTGCGTTCAAGTTTCAGCTTCCTCACTCAGAATATCGGGTGTTAAATTTACCCGTATAAATTTGACTACAGCTTTACAAAATTTTCTTCTGTTACAATTTTATTGCAACACACAAACAAGTATACGATCTGATAAAAGCAAATGATTTCTACTTGAAAGATTTGATTTTCCTTCTTTATGATAACAGTTGTTAAGAATTTTTATAAAAGGCAATGGTTCATAAATTTTTATACAAAATATCTCATAAAATATAAATTATTTTCAGAATAGCACTGATTAATCAATACAAAATTTTCCATTAATTTAACTGCTATAGAAAAATTTGATAAAATTTACATATTGAAAAGCACAGGATTAAAATTTATTCCTGTTAAAATCCTTCTATTCAAAATTTCATCGGATCAGAATCAGAGAGACTACAATTTTCCGAATCCATTTTATTATATTCTTAATAATAGGGTAATTGAATTGTGTACATTATAAATATGCAATGCAGTTGAATAATTTGTAAATTACGAAAATACTGATTCAGTATTTGTTTGAGGCAAATATTAAAAAAATAAAAAATGGAGAAAAGATTATCCTGTATAGGACGAAGTGGAAAATAACGGTTATGGCGCTTCAACACGCGTGTTACTTTTTTTTCTATTTCATACTCATATTTATGTCGCTGGAAAAATGTATACAAAATTTATTCAGCTTTGCCAAACAGTGTAGATATTTCTGGAACGTCCTGTGAAATCTGTAATATCAACAAATCTGTCACTGGTGAAATCAAAACCAGCCAACTACTATCTGTGCACGGAAGCACGTAGATTTACATGTCGGGATAACCATTTATCAGGTTTATAAGTTGCCGTGACGAATAGGCCAGTACGATGAACCATTTTCACGAAGCGGATTTGAAGAATTTGTTTGAACGCGTTAAAGCTACATACGTATCGCGGTTTCAAGGATTCTCATTTATTTCTGCACTTGAAAAGTATGAATTTCTATATTTTACACTTAAACTGTAGATAAAAGGTTTGAAGAATTCTTTTATAAACTGTAGGGTTCTAGCGTACACGGTACTCTACAAAATCTACTATCATATTTAAAAGTACTAGAATAGTACTTTGTCCATAAAAAAAAATTTCAATTTTCTTTGAGTAAAAATTTTAATAAGTGTGCTAATATTTCTAAGCTTTGGTGTATATATAAATAATAAGCCAACGTTATATAATTTGTAATTTATAATCCTAATAATAAAGTAACAATAAGATCGACATGCTATAAAGATTTGTTTCTTTCTCTCGAAAATACTTCTGCACTGAAACTTATCAGGACATAAATTACAGATTACTCTCCAGCGTTATTTATGTCGTGAATATCGAACAGGTCAGAATATCATCTTTAAACGTAATTTATGCAACCACCTTTATTCCTACTACTGTTATACATTATTCACGTGCATAACGCGATGCTTTTGTACACTTGTACAATAAAAGAAGAGGAGGATATAAACAGAATCTCATATCTGCTAGTAGAACATTCATCTCGGAAGATCATAAAACGTAGAATCTTTTCTCCTCGCCATGTAATTTCGAACAGATGTACACACGCATGAATATATATCATAAATTCACGAGATGTCGCCATTTGCTGCGAGCATTTATCTTCATTCTCTCATTAAATCTTTTCATTTGCCGTGATATAGCTACAGTATTAACTTTTATAATATCTTTGTTATTCAAAACGTATTCCTTTCTATTGTGGAGAAATAAATCATCATAATTGGTATCACTGATAATTTGATATCATATTTGAGTACAATTGAATTATTAAACTGTTGAATATTGCATGTTGTAATTTCAAATGGGAGCTAGATATATTTGGCTGCCATTTTACTTTCGAATGTTCACGTATTTCAGATGGAAGCTAGCAAGGTAGCCATATTTAATTTATCAATAAACTGAAAATGTTTATGCATCTAACATAAGATACGTCAAAAATATTAAGATATATAAAATAATAATTACTTGAATAATTTGAATTTAACTTCTATATAAAAATACTCATTTCCATGAACATTCGAAATCGTCAGCTATGTTCTATGAAACAAGAGCTACATACATGCGTGTATACATTGTTCGAAATATTAAATTATAGATACTCATATTTTACACCAAAAAGATTAATAGCTAAATTTAAACGGCAACAAATGAAATAGTCAATATTTAAATCCATTTTCGAGCAGTATTTTATTACCAAAATGGTCAGTATAAAAATACTAAACGGTTAGGTTAGGTTGGTACATAAATAGCGAATGGTCAGTATGGAAGGATACTAATATATTTATACACTGATGTTTATATGATACACTTCCTATTTAAATACTGACCAAAAGGGATTAAAATACAAGCCAATTTAAACTATAAACATGTTGTTACATACCGACATGAAAATTCATCGCTCCGGAGGCGTCAGCACGGAACTGCAACTTCCACTCACAGCTTTCACACTACTTAGTACCATGAATAAATAATGAAAACACATTTTGTAACGCGCGGAATATTACAAATCGCGGTAATGCATGAAACACGAAACACGAAACACGAAACACATCACGAGACGACGAATGTTGATTTAGCAATGTGCGGCCCGACTTATTGCGACGCAATTAATGCGTCGGGTCGGGTCGTGTCTAGTCGGGTCGGTTCGGAGAACATCGGACGGGGTCGGTCGGGTATAGTCGGGCCGATTCGGACGAGTTCCCGCGGGCTGAGGCCCACGACCCAACTCTCATGTAAATACTTGATATTGCTTGTCATAAGCATGTTCAAAATTACATCAACATTATGTTGATCTCTGGAATCTCGTCTGCGCGATTTACCTCCTCTGTGTTTACATCCTCGCTTTTCTTATGGATTTACAGCATTCCAAGGCCGGTTTTGCACGCCGCGGAATGTGAGGTAAAATCGAGGGCAATATTTACAGGTGATATGTTCTACAGGCTATCCCAATAATTTAACTTTGATCACCTTAATCATTTTCGTTATTTTTAGAGATATGAAAGAGCTTCCCTCACTCTATTTATTACTCTACTTACTCGCTCAAACAAACAATTTACACTCTTCACAAAAGTCGTTATTTAAACGTTACATTTTTCAAAATTCAAATTCTTCCAAAATGTTATATTTTTTTTTCATATCGCGCAATCCGTTTTGGGACGCGCTGTACACGCATTCTGAAGTTTCGATCTCGTTGATTCGAGTGGCGAAAAGCTCATAAGTCCGAATAGAGTGAGCGGAAGCGCAAGAGGGACAGAGTGTTTCCGGATTGCTAGCTGAAACTGTATGAACGCAAGCACCGCCGTCTGATCCAACTGGGGTTGGGAGAAGGGACGTAGGGCCAAAAGGGATGGGGCGCTGAATGGTTCTCCGCTTCCGTCGAATCGTCTAATCGTACGTACGTATCTGGGACGGATTAAACGATCGAACGGGGTCAGAGAGTCGAGCACGCCTATGTTCTCGAAGCCATAAATTGCGTCATCATTCCAGAGTACGAGGCCGTAATCGCGTCCACGTACCGAGGGCCGACTTTTTCCGATTTTCGATCCGCGATACAACCGCTGCTGTAAATAGCCTTTCCGTTTAAAATCACGCGATCCCCCGGCGACCGCGTCACGCGTATCACTGCTCTGTATTTTCCAAATGCTTGTTTTGTTGTTTCTATTAAACCCCGACAATGGCATCGTAAAACCGCCGCTTCTGTTTAGCATTTTAAGAGGAACCTCGAGTGTCCAACAGCTGTTGCCAGATATCAAGTCTGACATGATTTCATGACATAAAACTATTGCAAAATGGTATTTCTGTTACATTCATTTGAAGATAATCACTATAAAAACTTAAGACATCTTTGTTACAACCGAAATATTAAATCTTCCAAAGTGGAGATACCGACGAAATGGACGCGAGGGTCAATTAAAGGCACACTCCAATTGGCAAACGTGTCAAGTTTTGTTATTTCTATGGTGGTGAAGACGTTTGAATATTCGACCGACTCGACAGCCGATTCAACTTTCGATGAGTCGTAGCTTGCCAACACTCTTTGCCAAAGTATCACGCGGTTAGGCGACCGCTATAACTTTTCAGCCTTCTCCGTTGCTTTACCAAACTCGTAACAGTCGACTTTACGATGCATTTTTCTTTTAATAACCTAGCATCCATCACGTAGCTTTGTTCTCCAGAGTTTTTGAAATAAAAACGACAGTAGAGGATTTAATAGCTGCTCCTTCGCCACGAAGAGATTCATAAATTCGGTTGAAATGTATTTATACAGATATCTACGAACAATTTTTTTCATTCGTACAATTTAACAATTATTGTTCATAAAAAGTCATCAATTAAAAATGATCAAGATCCAGTTCGAACAGAAAAATCAGCACGTAGCTGTTTTCAACGTTTGAAAAAAAAAATCAATCGACAAATTCTTTTCAGTTCGTTAACGTCAATAAATACTCGCAATGTTTTCGTTCAGAAAAGAAACGATGCTTTAACGAAACGTTTAGAATGTTTTCACTGCGTGCTTGCACCACGATGCAAGAAACTGACTTCCGGGAAGCCTGTCATAAGTTGCAGACAATTTTCTCCCGTAGCCACTTCTCCCATCGCTTCTGAGGAAGGAAGGGAAATAAAAAGCGAGAAAATACGAGCAAAAATCCGGAGGGACTCGGCCAGAGTGACGAAGATGGATGATCGTGACGGAAGCTTAATGAAAAAAAGAGAGGGTAAGAAAATTGAAAAACGACGAGAGACAAAGGGCTGTTTGTAGCAAGAAAATTGGTTTTGAAATGAAAAAGATAATTCCAATACATTGTCGGATATTTATAGACAATCAGTCATCACGTTATAAAAATTTGTATTTCATTGTAGAAATCGATGATCGATTGATTCATTGCCATTTAGAAACTTACTTTATCAAAGTTTTATTGAAACTGACAGATTCATCTTTAATAATATTAAAATGCAATATCGATTAATATCGATTTGTCACAGTCTTGTTATTTATTAAATATTGGAAACACAATTTATGTCACCATTGTATGATACAAAGAGACAAATATATCAACAGAAATGTATTTTTATTACATTATTATTTGAACCGCTATAGTGATATGAATAACAAGTTTCTCTTTTGAAGTGAAACAATATTTCCTTTCGGATTATCCGAAGATGCATTGCAAGACAAATAGGATATTGAGGAATAAGTCTTCCGTTCATGGAGGTATGCCATAAATTAACTTCTTCAGGGCGCTGGGTCTACGATGTGTCAATTATTATTCAGAGGGCACGATTGGAAACCTTTGCCTGGGGAAATCTTCTGACAAATCCCAGTCATGCTGAATCTTACAGGAAAAATGTATAAATCGAAATCAAGAATCGAAGGTTTCAAAAAGAGTCAAGTATTCTAGATACAGTTAACACGATTGCTGGTGACAGATGCTATAAATTTGTTCTCATGTAACAATTGGACGAAGAAGATAGAAAATTATATACATTGAAAACTTCAAAGGAGGGTAGTATATACTGACCCAGTTAGGTGAATCACCCTGTAGAATGTCTTTCGAGTATCCTTTCATAGATGAAAACGTTTGATGGAAGCAAAATGAACACCGCTATTCAACGACGTACAAATATGTTCAACGGAAACGGAACCAATGGGAAAGAAACTCGAATAGAAACAACATTGAACGACAAAGTCCGAGCAGCTCGATCGCTCGTCGAGCTTTTACTGGAATTTTCGACGTTGACGAATTCCCATCTGCGGTGAAGTATTCATGTGTGCCCCCCCGCAGACGCAACAGAAGCATGGAAACACGGCCAGAGTGATTAATCATCCAATCCTTTGACAAAGGCCGGAAAGCCCGGTGGATTTTCGCAACGGAGGTGTTTCCTGCCGCACAGCTGTCGGTTAAAAACGCGGCTTCGAATGGAATTAAAGAATTTGCGCCCTGCCTTCGAGATTTCCGACGAATTATCCACGACGTTCTATTTCTCTGATGCTGGAATAATGATGCTTTTTCCGAATTTCCTCGACGCATAAGTAGAACACTTTTTATCAGCTGGAAAGTTAATGGAAGTTGAAGATATATTTAACCTGATTCTTTTATTAGGTCATCATTCGTGACATATTTTCTCAGCAAATATCAAATGTAGGCAAATATCATATATTCGCCTTATTATACTGTTTTCCATATACTTGCGTTTCTAAATTACACTGAGAGATTAAGAAACAATTACTGTACAGGGTGTTTGGAAAGTGTATTAACCTTTGTTAATATGCAAAGTTTCGATTGCTGTCGTCATATTAGTTGTAAGGTTAAACGATTGTAAATCGACGATCGGGAACGAACTCGAGCATACGGGTTCAAGTTCCTTGATCGGTGGTTTGACCCCGACGATTCAACAACAGACCGTGAACAACGTATACACATTCTCTTAGTAACGGGAGTAAAGGCATGCCAGTATTTGTCGTGATACTAACACGCTGATTTTCTTCCAGAGTTCCTTTCGAAACTTAAGTTAAGCCCGACTTTTAAAAGTTGTCCCCCCTTACACCAGCCGAAATCGACGAGAATTCGTCGTCCTTATGCGAGACCTACTGCGTGCTCTTCGAGCTTCCGCTTGGACGGTTAAAGCTTCCATTCCATCCGGTTTCCCCTCGTATCCGCTCTTCGAGCATCGCATTTCCGATGCGACTAATGTTTCCAACAAATCCACTCTACTGATGTTGTTAACATTCCGATTTGTGGCTTTGATGATCTGTTCCGAGGACTATTGTTCGGGGGATTGGTGTTGATTTTGTGTAAATAAAATTTTTAGGAGATTCTTGGCGAATGTTTGGTATAAAAGAAGTGTCTTTTAATGGCCCAAAATATTTTGATAATTGTATTTTAAAAATTGTTCGATTGGTTACTAACAAGTAGGTAGTTGGTAAATTTAAATTACAGATTTGGATGGGAAATTTTCAAATTTAAGCATCAACTTCTCTGCAATATAATTTGAGTGAGTTCGAAACAAAGTAAGTGGAGAGGTCGTGAATTTATCAACCAACCAAATTGCTTAAAAAACCATCCGTGAAGTTACAAATTAATGTTGATCTAAACGTTTCTGTTAATTACGAGTTTGATAGTTTCGGAACACCTCTCGCCAAGTAAATACATAACATGAGCAGTTCTAATATTAATGATTTACCACCCTTCTCGTGATGTTGGAACAAAGATGTGTTTAGTATGATAACAGAGCACTTGCTAATTATCTCGTAATAATGTAGAGTACGCAATACAAACTGGGTATTGTGTTAATTATTTATGTGATTACATATAAAACGGGAATAGGAAACTGTATTTATACTACCTTGCACTGGTCATAATAATAAGGCAAATGGACGTACAAATATTTGTTGTTTAAAAAAGAAATAATTAAAATAAGATAAATTAAAGAGATTCTATAAATTTGTCAGATTATTCTATTGATCCAACTAAAGCGAGAAATACTAGAAAAATTTTATTATATTTCAAATAAATCAAATTATCCTCTGTCACGATTAAATGAATTTAAATTTATTAAAAAGGCAACTTCTCTTTTGGAGATTAAAAAAATATTCCTCGCTTTAATTTCAGAGTAAATTAGTAA